GGTCAAGGCAGGAAAATCCAGCCCCTGGCCATTGGACTGACCTGCTCCTTGGCCTGGTTCAGGATTTAGTGCCCAACTGAAGACAAGTTCAGCTGTGGCCATCTTGCTTGGACCCAATAGATTTGCCCAGAGAAGCTGTGGCTGCCCCATCCCTGGAAGTGTTCAAGGCAAGTGTTGTACTGGAGCTGGAGAAACCTGGTCTAGTGGAAGGTGTCCCTGTCCATGGCAGGGGGGCTGGAACAAGAGGATCTTCAAGATTCTTCCCACCCAAATAATTCTGTGATGCTGTGATTTATCAGCAGGGACACAACCCCCCAGTGTGCCCTGAATGTAATGAAACAGATAGTGCTTTGGAGCTGCAGGACAGTGAATGTCTTTGCCCCCTTTGCCCCTGCTCTCTTGCCTCTCCCCAAAGTTCATTGCTGATCAGAGATCTCTCCCTGTTGGCTCCTTCCCTTGCAGTCTGCAATGCCCTCACCTCCCCATCTTGACCCCATTTGCCCACCACACCACCATTTCTTCTTGCCTTCAGAAGAATTCTCCCTCCATCCTCTCTGCCAGCTTTTCTGTGTCTGTCCCACAGCTGCTTCTCCAATCCTTTGCTTTCTCCCACCTTTCCCCTCCACATCACCCCAAATACCCATCTCCACCAAGGACTCTCTTCCCATCCTCCCTCAGATACTGTCTCATGTCCTGTCTCTCTTGGACTGTAAGCCTTTTTATTTGTCTGTACTGTGTGATATCACTCACTGCTTGAATAAATGATACCTCACCTACCAAGTGCCCTTTCTCTCTCTGTCCTTTCTTGGTGTGATTTCACTAGATGTGTCTGCAAGTGCCTTGTGTGTCTGACCTGGTGGCCAGTCAAGCAGTCAGTCTTGCTTCTGCAGATCTGTCTGCTTTTAGGATGACCCTGTTCATGCTTTTGTCCTCTGGTACTTTTGTTTCTTTTCTTTTACAGCCACAGGGACAAGCTTTGTTGTCAGTGTAGGAGACTGGCACATTGAGACCTGCAGGATCTTCTGGCCCTTGCCATTCTGGTGCATCTGATAAAGAGGTTGGCTTTTCTCCATCTTCCTGCAGAGATGCCCTGTGTTGCCAGGTGGCTCAACAAAGGCAGCAGCCGAGGAGAGTGAACGAGAAATCTTGTAGCCCAGAGCAGAAGCAGCTGATGGTAAAGGAACAACATTCTCCTGTGAGAGGAAGCAGTGGGCAGAGATGTGTCAGTGGAAATCCAAGCAGATCTATCTCTCAGGTGAATCAGCAAAAGCTGGCTTAGCATGTTTCAGAGATGGATGCCCAGGAGGCTTCTTGTGGCTGAGAAGGTGCCCTGGACATCTGCTTCCTTCATCCCAGGCGAGGACTAGACCTGTCCTTCTACCTGTGAGTCAAGACCCAATTGTCACTCAGTCTCAGATGGCTCCTTGCTGCCTCCTTGTCCCTATTTATTGCCTCAAAGTGCTAGTTTGGTTGGTGCTGGCTGCAGCTGTTAGTGTACATGGAGATGGTGCTTCTTCCCGGGTGCTCCTTATAGAAACGGAAAGTTGCTGGAGCAGCCTGGTTCCTTTACCCCCACAGTGACCCTCACTGCCTGTGGTGTGACACCAGCCTGCTAGAAAGCAAAGGAGCCTCCTGGTCCTGCTGAGTGAGCTCAGAGCGTGGTCACCAGTCTGGTTTCATGGGTCTGAGGACCTAAAGAGAGGCAAAACCGAAGCAGTTTGGTGGACATGGATGGGAAAGGGATCAAGCAATGCTCAGTCCCCTGGGCTTCTTCAGTGCCTGTTCCTGTCCTGTCCTGCTCCATGCAAGAACAGACAGAAGAGATAAAGTGTGTGGGGACCTCAAATCCTCAGTAAGAAGCCTGGAAATGCCATCTAGGACAAGCAAGACTTGAAGCGGGGCTGTGCCTGACATCTCCAGGCTGAAGGAATTTTGGTGTAGGTGCTGGAAAGAAGCATTGGGAAAGAGGATCAATCCCTTGATGTAGGTGATATCCTGCATCCTCTCCTATGTGCCACCATGACTTCCACCTGCCTTGCTTCCACAGGGCTGCTGCCTCCTCCTGCAAGCTATAGATTCCACCAGTAAAAAAACACTGAAAAAATCTCAGCTGCAGTTTTAGGGTCTGAGTAGTATTTAGGATATGATTCATCCATGCTGCTCAGGTCCTCATCTCACTTGAAGGTATGCAGAAGTCTTTTAACATCTACATTTCTGCTAGCAGAGTTCTGTGAGAGCTGGCCTATCTGCTGCTGTGGTTTGAACCCTGAAGGGCTGAGTTCCTTGTTGCTCATCCCAAACCTACATCAGGCCAGATTTCACAACCAGGCACTTTCTTCTTCAGACCTTGCTGGCCCCAAACACACATGCACAAGTCTCACACCTTTGCAAAGACAGCAACCCCTCTGCTTGCTGAGGTACAGAACAAGGCTAAAATTCTGCACTTCCCTGATACAACTCACAATGTTACGTCTACTTCTTGATGTGCCTTTTCCAAAGAATGCAACTGAGACCAATTATAAAGGACCGTGTTAAGACCATTTTTCAGTACAAAGTTTGCATTTTTGTTGCTGTTTTGTAAAGACAACAAGCTTCAGTGCACAAAGGGCATCACAGCATTCAGAAGACAGAAGTGACTTGTCATAACCTACTCATAAACTGGGAATTGAATTTGCTCAGAAATCAATGAGTTTCTATCTTTTGAGGAACATGAACCTGCCAATGCCCTCCTAGATAAGGGCACCAACCAAAAGGTGGTTCTTCCACAGACAAGAGCTGTCTCCTCACCTGAATTCTCTGGGAAACAAAGGACAGATTTCTCATGTTTTTTTCTTTAAAACATTCCTTCAGCACCCAAGTTCTGTGCCTGAGGCTGTTTGCTGTTTCTGTGCCACTGATTCAGGTAGAGGATTCCTGCTGCTTCTAGGTCTCTTAAAGGCAACTTTTAATTTTCTGTGTGCCTATACTGACTCATAACAGCTCCCAAATAGCTAAACTGCTTTAAATTAAAGTAATTTTGCAGAAGACAATACAAGTCACCAGCTCATTTTGATATGAGGCCACCAAAACATCCATATGTGAATTCATAGAGGAACAGGGATGAGATGTAAGCATGTCCTCCATATCTCTGAGGAACAGGATAATATTGCTGGAGCTGTCAGAGGCAAGTTTAGATCCCAAGTCACAAAATCCCAGCTCCATGTGGTTATATCAGGACCAGTAAAGAGGGGATTGTGCTATGTGTGCTCATGGTGGCCCATGAACACTCCTAGTTATTTCCAGACACCTTGTGCTCACTCTGGGAAACAAACCCCTGCTGAATTTCATACTCTTTCTGCAATTCTCTCAGACATAACAAGAGGAGAAATCTGTCACCTCAAATTCATCTCTTCTACATTTCTCACCTTCTCACACAACAATTTGCCATCAGCAGTTCTCATGAGGGCAAAGATCTTCAAACTCTTTCCTTGCTTGTCTTTGTAGTAATTTATAAATGTTACTGCATGTGTGTTGGGGATTGTTATGTTTCAGGATCAGGCTTTCCTTTCAACTCTCCTATTTGCACACTGCCAGCTCACTGTTCCCAAGGCTGGTACCTAGAGCCAGACCTCACTGTGCAGCCCTGCGGGGAACAGCCATGGTTGTTCTCTGCTGTGCATGCTCTGTTGTCTCTGCACACCAGTTCTGGGGGAAAATAACATAATTATCTACCACTCACACTCCCTCCAGTTTAAAACAGGTTTGGATGGACAATCACACAATTGTCTATATTCATGCAAACAAAGGGGAAGCCAGATGGGATACAGTCTCTTTCCCCTCCTCAGTCCTGAAATCCCTGGCTGAAGGATGCACACAGTCATGGGAAAAGAGCCAGTGGATTAAAAGGAAGAACACACACTGCAGGCAGCAGCTTTCTGACTGTCTCAACAGGGAGGGACCACCCTAGTGCTGCTGAGATGGAGGAATTTCCCTGGTGATTCTAGCAAGGGCTCAGGAAAATGTTGGTGGATTGAAAACAGTTCATGTTGCTTCAGGGAGAGATGATTTTTTACTTTCAAAGCTCTCCTCTGAAATGCAGGGTGTAGCAGCAGGAGCAGGGTTGGATACCAAGGAGGGGGTGGGATGGCTCTGGTGTTGGCCCACCTGGATCAGGTTGAACCTGGATCATCATGTACACACTGGGACAGGACAACCTGAGATCATGCCCCATGGTTCCTGCATCCTCCTCACTAAAGGAGGTGTGAAGATGTGCTTGGTACCTGCAGTAGCTACTGATGGCCTTCAAACTGCAAGTGCAGGTGCTGTTGGGCACCATTGCCAGTGGCAAGGATGTGCAGGCATCTCCAGCCTTCTCCAGAGACCGGGCAATGGGTCCTGTCCCAGCAGATGCCTGTGCATCAGCAGTATGGACCTGGCCTACCCTGACAGTGGGGCGTCTTTCCAAAGAGAAGCTGCTCTGCATTTTCCTTTGATTTGTGGGGCTGAGCTCACCTCATTCCCATAGGAGCTACTGTGCTGAAAGAGCTCAGCAGATTTCCTACCAACCTCTGCCAACAGCTCCTGGCAGCAAATATCTCTTTGTAGGAAGCAAAAAGGGCAATGTGAGGGTGAGTATTTGAGAGAGAGGTGTCCTGCCAGGGCTCTTCACATGGTCCTGCCCCACACAAAAACGGGTTTTCTAATGTCTGGGTTGGGTTGATTTCATAGACCAAGAAAATGGTAACCAGCCACTCCATGGTGTCAGCCCCTCCTTCCCTCCTCTAACCTGGAACCACTCCCTGCACAAAAATCATTTAGAACTGGGGGACAAATGGGGATCTCCACTTGATGAAACCACCATGTAAAGCTGCCCATTTTAAATCTTAGCAGGTTTCTTGTGCATCATCAACTGCTTTCTGAATCCTCACAGGCCCATTCCCATCCATCCATGTTTCTCCTCATCCCGAGAGATCTTCCTCCTCCTCTTTCCTAATGAAGACTGATTTCCTTGTTCCCTACAGGTCTTTCCTTCCCCATCCCTCCCTCTGTGCTTTCTCAGGACCGAGCCTTCCTTCCAACACATGTCCAGAGCTTCTACTGGCAGCATCTACCCTAACTCCAAGGTGCCTTTCTTCTTTTGTGCTGCCATCCAAGACTATCCAGGTACAAAGGTGACCCTGCCAGTCATCCAGTGCCTTGGTGCCACCACCGCCTACTGCTGTCTCCTGGGGGAATCGAAGAGAAAAGGGGTGCTCTCAAACTGGGGCTAGGATATGTTAGCTGGGCTTACTTTCCTTTGGTTGTTTTTAACAGGTGCTTCCTGAGTCACACAAGAGCTCAGCTCCACTGTGAGAGGGCTTTTACCACCCATCATGAGGGAAACAAACTGCTTTTTTGAGAGGCAATTTTACAGCAAGGTGTTCGTTTGATGTGTGTTATGATCAGTTTGCAAGTATTTGTTGTAGCTGATGGTGGACATGATCCTGGTCACAGTTAAACCAAGGGCTGGTCAAAAAGTCCAGCCCAAGCCCTCACATGTTTTGTGGACATCCATGAGTTTTGGACCAGTTCCTTGCAGGGAGCAGGACCACTTGCCAGCCAGCCTGAGGACAAACCAAATGTGTGGTTGCTATGGGAACACTGCAGAGCCTTGGTCACAGGGCAAATTCCACCTCAGGGGTGGCATTTTGTTTTCATGGGTTGGCTGATTGCTCTGATAACTTTGCAATGATGCTCTTTCTTCTGCTTCCAGGACCCCTGAAACAAACACTGGTGCTACAGAGCAAGAACCAAGTACCTTAGTGAAGGATGAATTGACATGAAGTCAGGAACCTTCGTCTGAGCATCAGCTGGAGCAAATGTGTAGTTCGCATGAAATGTGTATTGTCTGGCTGGCATAAAATAAAGCTGATTGTGAGAGCTGAATGACAACTTCTGTTGTCTCTCAAGCACTTTGAAGTTATTGTGTGATGCAGTTAGCATGTCTGTGCCTTGATTTATGTATAGCAAAGTTACAGAAAAAAAATGGGTCCAGTTCTCCCTTGATTCATAAATGGGAAGCAATACTCGTTTTAAAGGTCTCTCTGTTTCATGTGGGCAACAGAGAGATAGATTAATATCCATAGCCTGTGGAAGGATCACACTGGATTTCAGAGATTATTCCAGAATCCTAGTTGTGAGAAATGACAACTCTCTTCAAAGATCCTTGGAAGATTTAATACATCGTAAATTCTTAAACACTGTCAAAAACTTGTATTTGGATATTGCCAGGTGAGACACACCTTGTGCAACATCTGGCAGATCCCCTTGTCACTGTGCTGTAGTCATGGATATTTCAGACCTTCTTCTGAGGCTGTTAATATTCAACTGATTGCCAATTTGGGTATCACTTTATGCAAATGATAGAATTATTTGGGTTGGAAGGGACCTTATTAGATCATCCAGTTCCACTGCCCTGCCATGGGGAAGGACATATTTCACTAGACCTGGCTGCTCCAAGCCCCATCCAACTTGGCCTTTAAGACTTCCAGAAAGGAGGCATATTGGGAAGGATGAAAGTTTGACAAGAAGGTCTCACAGATATGTATGCTTGGCAGAAAGATTTTTGAATGTAGAACCTGAGAATGAAATAGAGATGGAAGCAAATTTTGATATAGAAAGAAAGGATTGATGAGCCAGTCTTACTGGATAACCAAGGAGGTAAAGGGTATGTTCGTTAGAAGGGGTTTTTATGACTTAGAGCAAAGAATAAAACCACCTCAAACGAAAGGATTTTTTTGCCAAGCAGAAAGATAGCACAGGCAAATAAGCCTGCCAATGTTGCAAGCAGAAAAAGGTCTCAGAATTTTCCACTGCAAGAAAACTGAAACACAACTTCTAGCTTATACTGTAATGTACTAAGTTTTAGTGACTGGAGAATAGTAACATGAATATGGTAATTATAGTAGTTATGATAGGCTATAGGTAAAAGTTAAGGTATAGATTGGTTCTTCTGTATTAAGATGCTCAGCAAAGAAAAGTATATAATGCAAACCAAAGGGTCTCCAGGCCTGCCTGCAGCTGGAGCTGGCAGCTGTGGGCACAGGCTCTGTCACCCACAACCCTGGACTGCTGTAATGTATAGGATACAATAAACTGCATTTTAAAGAGCCACCTGGAGTCCTGCATCCCTCATTACGGCTCTTACAGAGGCAGCCACAGCTTCTCTGGGCAACCTGTGCCAGGGTCTTGCCTCTCTTACAGGGAGGAACTTCTTCCTGATATCTAACCAAAATTTCCCTTCTTTCAGTCTGGACCCTTGTCCTTCTCTAAATTTCCTGATTCAAAGTTCCTCTCTGTCTTCCTTGTAGGCTCCTTCAGATAATGGAAGATGTTCTGAAGTATCCAGGTGATGCTTAAAGTTTTAGCTTTCATATTTTTCAGATTCTGTGCTCCCTAGGTGTGCATCATATTAAGTGTTGGTAAGGTCTCTTCACAGAGTAGGGAGACAAAACAATTCCTTTTCTAGCTTGGGACCAAGGACAACCATTACAAGTTTCAGGCCCCAGAGCATAAACAGTGGTAGTCTGAAGAGAGAAAACAAGAAGGATGGGACTTCATAATCTGAAGCTGTAATTGGACAATTACCCCAATATGCAAATGGACAAGAACTTATAAAAGTGAGAGACTTCATGACCAGTCATCCATTTCTGTGACCATTTTGGGTTCATCTTGGGTGTAGCCCTGCCTGGGCTCTTGTACTGCCCAAGGTGAATCCATTGAGGCCTTTTAATAAATCCCTACTTTATTCTTTAATTCTGTCTAGCCTCTGCTCTAGGTCAGCCTTCTCAAGGTATCAAGGCAACCTTCTGCTTTCCAGGCTCAACAGCACTGACTTTCTCAGCCTGTCTTCTTCAGGGAGGTATTCTAGAGTCCTTATCAAATGCTGGACAAGACATCAAGCTGGCAAATTACTATTTCTTCTCAGCTTATTTTCTAAAACATTTTTTACTGAAAAATTGTGAGGTTGTTCACAATTGGAAATATAGGAAAAATTTGGTTGTTCTGTATGTTCATGTTTTCTGGGTGAGGTTCCATATGTTCATACAATTGGACTTGGGTGATCTTGGAGGTCTTTTCCAACCTTTATGATCCCTGTAGGATGCATGTGGCACCATGATGGGAGATGCAATCCAGTTCTACAGCCTGTCCTGTACAGATGGCATGGAGTCCCCAGACTGCAATTCCAGCAAGGCAGTGGCTCAGCACACTGCAATAAACATTTCTAGGTTTAGGCTGAAGGGTTCTAACACTTACAGCTGAGATTAGGTTTACTTTCCTAAAGTGGTAACTTCAGGCAAAAGGCTGCTCTTCCTTCACAAATTAATTAGGCAAAGCAGGTACTTCACTGGAGGTGGGGAGAACTCCATGGAGCATGGCAGCTCCATAGCCCTCCAGATCCAGAGGGTTTGGTTTGCTGGGTCTAGTTTATATGAAGATTGCATTGGGGCTGGAGAAGTCATTCACATATTTCAAAGTGAAAATGCAAATGCATGATATACCTCCTCCACCTCCTCCTCCTTCTCATCCTCCTTGTCCTCATCCTTGTTCTCCTCCTCATTCTCCACTTCCTCCTCCTAATGTTCACATTGAGTTGTCTTTGGTAGCAGGAAGGTTGGAAAGAACCTCCTTTTTAAAGGTATAAAATATAGAGGAATATTTGTCATGACTGTGTTTCTAAACCTGTTGTAGATCAAGTGGGAGCCTTTAGACCAGCTCTGCCTTAGGTTCAGATTTTTTGGCAGCAGCTTTACTCAGATAGCCTGCACCTTCAAAGCTCTGGCTTTCAAGTTCTCAGGAATTGCCAGTCAGGCCTATTATAAAATGAGTTACTGAATGAATAGACAGAAGATTAACAGACAAAAGGCCTTAAACAGAGTTACTTACTACACGGGTTAAAACAAAGAACTACTAATAGATTTCCGTAAAACAGTGCACAGTATTAATGTGCCTATATTATAGCTAGCAAAGAAATAGTATAGATTAGGAGTCAATGTAATTTACACCAATTGATGATGAGTCAATCACACAGAGTCCTTTCGCTCAACGTCTGGAAGAGTAACCACAAAGTGTGGTCCTGACTTCAGGGAAAAGCCTCACACACTTCCAGGAAACGTGCAGAAGACTTCTGCTTTGTGAAAGTATTGTGTAGCTTTTACAGCTTGTAAAGTGAAGTGTTTGCCAGTCAGAAATTCAAGCTTCTCTTCCTTCAATCTCACTCTCAGGGTAAGATGTTTATTGTCAGCTGGGAATGCCACCTCAATGGCACAAGAAATAACTCACTACCAGACAGATGTCCACTTGAGTTATCTCACCAAATAGCAAATTTCATGTGGGGGGAAGATGCCCTGAGATATCCCACCAGCTGATAGGCAGAACAGATAAGCCATCCTGTGAGGAGTTACTCTGACAAGAGAAACTCATAGTAACTAATTAAATATTCACTACAAAGGGATGGAGATTGAATGTCTATGAATAATTGCACTGAGTGTGTGCCTCACTCAGCAGCTCAAGGATGCTTGTTACATATGATTAAGTAATTGAATGTTCTTGTACAAAATTACCATGATTTCACAATTATTAGAAAGGACACCAGTCCAAAGGTCGAGTGCCAGATGGTGGTTGCCTGCAGGAGGTTTTGCTCTAGTTCCCTGGAGCTGTTGGTGTCCAGTTAGCCAAAGATCTTATCTATACACGATTATGGGTAGTAACCCAGATATCCACAGTGGAAAACTTGAGAAAAAGAGGCTTGTTCTTCCCTCAGTATCAGGAGTGGCTTGGAGAGGCAGAAAATCCAACCCAAACACGCACCAGAAGACAGACATTTTGCCTACTTCTTCAGCTCCCTGAAGGTAAGAGCAGGAACAAGTGGCCACCAGCTTTCATTTCACCAGTGGGAAATGTAGGGAAATGTGTTTGAAGTAAGAATGTGAAATTTCCCAGAGGTAGTTTTTGAAAAAGTATAGTTGATTTAGATGCTGACCTAAATCAAGGCAGAAGAAAACATTTGTGTAACATCTGTGTAAATAGTGACATATTTCCCCACCAGACTGGCTACAATATTTCAGACAAACCAAAAAAAAAAAAAATTAAAATTCTAATTTAATTTCATATAGTACTGCAGTGTTCTGACTTACCATAGAATCACAGAATGGTTTGGGTTGGAAGGGGCCTTACAGACCATCTCATTCCACCCCCTTGCCATGAACACACTCCACTAGACCAGGTTGCTCCAAACCCTGTCCTACCTGGCCTTGAACACTTCCAGGCATAAGGTATCCACAGCTTCTCTGGGCAACCTGTGTCAGGGGTTCACCACCCTCACAGCCAAGAATTTCTTCCCAATGTCCAATCTAACCCTGCCCTCTGTCAGTGTGAAACCATTCCCTCTTGTCCTGTCACTCCAGTCCTTTGTCCAAAGTTCCTCTGTGGCTCTCTCAGTGCCTTTAGGCACTGACAGGGGCTCTAAGGTCTCCCCAGAACTTTCACGTGTTCAGTCTGAACACCAAATTCTCTCAGCCTGTCTCCATAACACAGGTGCTTTATTCCTTGGAGCATTTCCATGGCCTCCTCTGGACTGGCTCCAGTAGCTCCATGTCACTCTAATGCTGGACAGCAGGGCTGCAGGCAGCACTGCAGGTGGGGAGATCTTGAACAGGGCAGAGTCTCCCCCTCCTCAGCTGCCCACACTGGGGGGATGCAGGCCAGCATCACTTCCTTATCACCTTAACATTTTAATTTTGCCACAAACTGGAATATTTACAGTTCATTAAGAAAAATTATTAATTTCTCAATTTCTAGTATTTCTCTCCCCTCCCTCCTGGTGTAAGCTGCTATCCTCAGACACCTGCTTCCTTCCACGTTTTGTTCCATTACCTTTTCTTTCCCTACATATTATGTTGTCCTCAGATTC